GTCTGAGACACCAGTGGTAAAGACAGAAAAAAGTCGCTGTCAACATAAGAACAAGTTCTGCATCATGTAAGTGGGGAATGAAGTGAAGAAGGGACCCAGGGATCCAGCAGAGCAGCTAAGGAAACCTTGGCAAAGATTCACTTACTGACATGGGAAACCAAATTTGCAGCAGCAAAATTAAATAAAGAACTTTTAAGTTACTCTACAAACAAGAATTATTACCTTGTAATCTTGAAATGCTGACAGATACAATTTGGTGGGAAAAAAAGTGTTTATAGGGAAAAGGGGGTCAGAGAAACAGAAAATATGTGTACCTTTTTCTGGTCCACATATTAATGCACAAGCAAACAGGGGGAAGAGTAGAAATAACAGGGGCAATGTTATTGCACCTCTCTGCTTCTCAGACATTTCTTTCCAGCTGTTTTCCGGATGAACCCTTCCTACCCTCTCCCCTTAGAAAAAGGTAAAGAATTTTACCATGTATTTTGGTCAGTTTACAGAATAAAAATAAAACCAGCAAAGTAATTCCCTCAACATGATTCAAGTGTATTCCTTGTTTCTCCTGAGGATATTTCACATGAGTCTCCTAACATACAATTCATCAATAATGCTGAGTCCTGCTAGTCATTTTTTCTTCAAGACACTACAGCAATTCTCTAAGTTGTCTTCCATATTTTGATAGGATTTTTATGTGTGTTTCTTCTGTTGGGTTTTTTTTATTAACACCCTAATATATGCCACGTTCTATTAGCTTATTCTAGAATAAGAGAGGTTTTAAGTATGCTAGGAAAGACTACAAATTAAACAAAGCCCAGAACTTCTGTACCTCAAAATGGAGATTTCAGGATGTATTAGAATATATTCTTCTACTGGTGTATTGGATCAAACCAACCAAAGAACACTTTTATTGCTACTTGATAGAAATGGGGGCAGAGAGAACTGGGGGGGAGGGGGGAAGTGTGTGCATCCAACACAAATTGCCTCATCAGCTTGAGAGAAATGCAGCAGGTCCACATATTTCATCATGCCACTTGCTGACATTTATCTCCCTTAGGAAGCTTTACATTTGAAGGGATGAAAAAAAATACAAGTGGATAGGAAGTGGATGTCTAGAAATAAAGCCATCATCACTGTCTGGCTTGTAGCCATGGCAAAGTTGGTAAAAGAACTCACCAGTATCTACTCGATTTCAGAGAAGCATTGCAAGACTTCCTGCCTGCTGTAAAAGACCTTTCAGACCACAGCTGCCCACACTGGGAAAATGAGTCTGAACTACCTGTGTGCACAATAAAGAGCTGAGCAGCAGAGTTGGGGTCTTCTCCCCCATCCAAGGCAACTTCTGCTGCAAGTGACAGAGTTTACAGGGCGATTCTTCTTCACTGTGCCAAGGTGAGGCTTTACAGCAGCAATTTCCTAAGGGGCATCACAACCATCTCAGCAACACAAACACCTTATCAGTGCTGAAGGATTATATTATGGCATCAGCACAGCCCACAGGTGATTCACCAGGAATTGGCACAGATCACTGTGAACTTCAGGACTTCATCAAGCACTGAAAAACACCTAACTAGCCACTAGGAGTTACACAATTCTCCTGACTTGTTTAGACCTCAACTCAGCCCAAATGTAGCTTGATTTTGTATTACTGCCTTTATGTATGTAGAGAAGAAACTTAATGGATGTAAGGTCAGACTAATATAATGAATGACACTAAATTAAGGATTTAACAACCACTTTTATCTTTGCTGACCTAACAGTTTGTTAATTACACACTCTGATGATTTCCCCCATATTTTCTCTACAAGAGGTATGGTCTACCCCAGCTTTTTGCACTGATTACCAATTCTGTATCTGTACTTTGCATTGACACTACCCTTTAAATATAACAGGAAAGAGCAATGTATTCTGTAGCTACCTTCCACTGAGAGATCGTCCATGATTCTCCTCAACCAGATTCCTAGAGGAGAACTTTCAGAACTATCTGCTGGTAGAAAAGTTGAACAGGGCTCTTCCCATCAGTTTCACCTTCAATAGATTAGTTTCACATTCAGGACTGCAGCTCTGTTTTTGTACCTCAAAATTCTGCAGAGTCAACACTTACACGAGGTGATGGTACTATGTTCCATTTATAAGAAATCATTAATAAGGAACTGACAAGGAAAGTTCATAGGTTTGTGCAGGAAGCCCCAATAAAAATGCCTCCCGGCATTGCTGACAAGGCACAAAGTACTTAGGACAGATACAAATATGTTTCTGTGGTTGTATTTCATCAGATTCCTCCTAGTCCAGCTAAAAACCCACAAACATATTCCTACAGTATATTTAGGCACTCCTGTAATATGATCCATGCACATTAAAAAAAAAAAAAAACCAACCTTCTTTCTAACTTCAACTTCGGCTTGATTCCACCACAATGCCAAGGAGCCTAGGCTGTTTTTTGGAATTTTTTTAACCCTCTCAGATATTTCTTAGAGATATGGGATGTAATGCATAGTCACATGTAACTAATGGGGAAAAAGTGGTCCTTTTAAGCATCACAGGGGCAATAAAAGGCAATTTCATATATTATGGTTCAAGGAATAGAAGAGAAACAATAAATAGTTGCACTCTATTTACAGAAATTAATACCATATAACACCAGGAACAGACATCATCCCTTATATTAGTACACAGCAACCAGTTGGTGTTGAATGTACTACTTTTAAAAAAAAAATCAGAGAGCCATGGGTGCCAATAGGATTTTAGTCACACGTGCATTAAATACCCCTGTAATATGATGTGTACAAGCCTGAAAGCCAACACTAAGAAGAAAGGTCTAGTACAAAGGGACTCCTGAGTTTGGTCTGTGCACAAAGCCAGCAAAAACTGCTGCAAGTAAAAATAGCACCCACACATAGGCTGTGCAAACCAGTTTTGCTCTACTTCAGAAGGATAAAGAGTTCAGTCACAACAAGATGCAAACTTGTGCCTAGGTTTTTCAAAAGAAAAAGCCAAATTTAACACGTCAGTTCAACTGAATATTTTTATTACTGTCTGAAGGAAAACCTAGCCACCACGATTACTCTTACTATGTAGAGCTGAAAAAAAGAGAGTGTATGTGAGTGCACTGAATTTCAAAAAGGAAAAAGTAAGGCTGTTTAAGTCTGGGTATGAACAGAGCAACTTTGATTCAGGTACAAACAAAGGTGCTTTTGAAAAATTTTCTGGCTAGTGAGTTCAGTTTCTTGGATTCCAAGTTAGTAAGAGTCCACATAGCTTTAAGATGCAGCTTCCAGGTAACACTTCCCGTGTCAAACTCTACCAACCACAACTCACAAAAGCTTCTGAGTTGTCCAAAGTTTAAAGAACAAACACGGGGGAAAAAAGCCCTTGGGTCCTCAAGTCAGAAGTGGAGCATGCCTCCCACCCCCTCTGCATCTGTGGAGCCGCAGTGCCTCGCTGGAATCACTGATGGAACCCCTCGGGCAAACTGTACAAGTGCCACCTGGAGAGGCACACTGGTAGGTACCACTTCAAGGTCTCAAAACCGTGTTGAATTTAAAGTGAATTCACCTTTGACAATAATACCAAAAATACAGTATGCATAAAACTCTGAGTACATGCTTCAAGTGAGAAGCAAAACACTGACAACCGTGCGGGACTTAGACTGAGACGCAGAAAAGGCTTATTCGTCTCTCGCGATTTGCACAACTAAGTTTCCAGCAGCAGAAGGCAGAAACAGGAACGCTGTTATCTGCTGGAGGGTTTTGGTTTTCCCATGTACGGAGCAGATAGTATCTACCGAAAGGGGAAAAAAGGGGAGGGCTGAATACCCTCCAAGGTCTCGTAATTCCGATGACGTGAATGTTAATCACAATATACACTCACGTCCTGCGACTCCGGCACCAACCCCCCTGCCCTCCAACAGGACCTGTCCTGCCGCAAGTCGCGGATCTCCAGGTTTCGCTCGCGAAAGCTCATTTCCCATCAAACTCGGGGGAGACGCTAACCTGGAGCTCCGGCTCCTCCTTCAACTCACGGGCTGCTAGCACAGACCCACGGCCGCCCCGGAGCGGGCACCTGCCGGGGCAGCTCACCCGGCCCCGCTCCCACTGCGCTCACCTTGGGCAGCTCGCGGAGCTGGTTGGCGTCCAGCAGGAGCTCCTCCAGGCTGCGGCTGTAGCGGTAGATCTCCTCGGGCACGGCGGCCAGCGAGCAGTGCCGCTTGTCGATGGACTCCACATGGCGGTTGCACCGCCACAGGGGGATGCAGTGGAACATCGCCCCGCCGCCGGGGGCCGCGGGGCGGGCGCCGCCGCTCACCGCCGCCCCCTCCTCGCCGCAAGCCGCATCCAGCGCGCCGCCGCCACCGGCGGGAAGCAGCCCCGGGCGAGCGCGGCGGCCCCGGGAGAACAATGGGCGGGGGCCGGAGCGGGGCGGAATCGGGGCCGTCCCCCTAGTGCCTCTCGGCGGGCCGCTGCCCTCGCCGCAGGAGCATCGCCGGGCGCCGAGCGCAGCGCTGCCGGCCGTCGCCGCGCATTCCCGCGCCTGACCCGGAACACGGGCGGCCGCTCCCGCTCCCCCTCCTCTCCTCCCCCGTCCCGGCTGACATCAGCGGGGCCGGGCCCTGCCGCCCTGCCCCGCCCCGGGCCCGGACCCGGCCCGCCGCTCGCACACCCCCCCGCTCCCGCCCCGGCGCCGCCTCGCCCCGGGCAGCCGGGGGCGGGCGCCCGCACAACTTTGTACCAAGGGAAAAAAGAGCGGCGCCGGCACGGAGTTTCCCCCGGCTGGAAGCGTAACACGCTGCCTGGGCAGCGGGGCTCGCTCCGCACACCCCCGCCCGGGGCACCGGCGGGCGCGGCTCCCGCAGCAGCGGCCGGGCCGCAGCCGCCCCGGGCGGGCTCGGGCAGCGCCCCGCAGCTGCCGTCGGAACGGCGGCGGCCGCACCACCGGGAGTGCCGGGGAGCGGTTCGGGACGCTCATTTTACCGACTCCGGGACATGCCGATCCCTACCTGAAGTGTCCAGGAACACCGAGCGGCAGCGTGCGCAGAGCACGCTCAGTTTCTTTTCGATTGTTAGAACACGGTCTGGAAAGTAACACAAGAAAATGTATGGAACGCACTCTAGGTACATGGCCGTGAGTAATGTTTTGCCTCTCAAATTGCATTGGTCTAACATTTAAAAAAAAAAAAAAAAAAAAAAGGAGAGGGAGAGAAATATATACTATCCTCAAGGCTTTCTGAAATATGGGGGTTTTTAATCCACTTTCAAAAGGGCAATCGTTAGGTCACACGGGTTAACAAGGACAGATACTCCGGCAGTCCTCTGCCCGTGTCCGCCGGCTCTGGGCTCCGGCAGTCCCGCTCCACACCCTTGTGAGTGGGGCGATGTGCTCCTGAGCTCTGATGGCAAAACAGTCTTAAAGGATCTCGTCTTTCTGGTTGCATAATAGCAATTTTGTAATCTACACAGCAACACAAAATACTTTTGAAAACAGGCAGTTAACATCAGTGCTGTTCTTGAAATATTGCTAATTTCTTGCATAATTATAATTGGGTGCAGATATAGGAATAGGGGAGAGGGGGAGTGTATTGTAATTGTCTCTGTTCTTCAATACCTGAATGGTACCAATAAACTTAATCTTACAAAGTTGCAGTGTATTTATTGTTGGGTTCTTCTTAAATCAACTGATAAGTCTTACAAGATGCACTTGTTAAATTTCTGTGGAAATTTGAGTGATCTGCCTCTTTTTTGGTTTCAAAAAGGACATTTTAGGTGCTTGCATGCTGTTACACTTTGCAGACCTGGAAAACAAGAAACTTTAAAAATGTTAACTTTTTCTTATAAATATCTTTCTTAAATAGCTGTCAGAACCAATAGTTTCTTCCTTCCATCAGTGTATTCAGTAATTACAAAAGAGCATTCATAAATGTGTTCACATGTACTCAGAAGCAGGGCAGGCACACACCAGCACTCCTGAGCCTTCCCAGCCCTGCAGCAGAAGATTAGATAACTTCGACAGGAGAAAATCAAACCAACCTGTTGTGCGCTGGCAGAGCTTGGCAGACAGGGATACTGGAAGCTGCCCAGCAGATTTCAGAGGTGGAGATGAGGAGGACCATCTCTCACAAGTAGTGGGTCCCAGCCAGGGCCAGCCAGGCACTTCAGATGCATTTCTTGCAGCTGCTGGTGAGACTGGTCCTCCCTGATTCCTGACAGAAGAGGTAAATTCAGAAAATTAATCTCATGCAGCTCCAACCCAAGATTTGACACTGAAGATATTGAACCAGATGCAGGGAATGTGGAGGCTCAGCAGACATCAACTGAAAAAATATTGAGGCAGATATAAGGCTCAAACTGTTCACAAGCCTCTGTGACCAACAGCAGATTTGCTGCCAAGATTACTTTGCTTAAATTCAGCAACCTCAGTGCCTCTGTTCCTAGGGAACCCTCTGAAGAAGTGAGACTACAGAGGAGCCATGCAGCAGGGCACATGAACAAGGGAGAGCTACTGCTGACTACCCCCAGTTTATCTAGGACATGCAGTACTGCAAAGGACTACATATGGGGATGGGATAAATCAAAGCATTTAAAAGCGGAGAGCAACATGACTTGTTTAATTGCTAAACAGAAGGATGAACACATTGCCTCCTGAACTCCAGCTCAAAGAAACAGACTGGTCAGTGGCACCTCAGGACCTCGTGTCCATCTTCTGCTTGTCTGGAAGCATCCACGTTGTCCCATAGCTGAATCTGACAACGGGCAAGAACTGTGGCAGTGGCCTCAGTGGAAAGGTTCTCTCACCATCTTAGGCTGCTTTCTGTCCCGCAGTCCTCTGTGCCATTTGGCAGAAATGCCCAGCATGCCCTCCAGACAAAGAGGACTTCAGATCCCAGCACTACACTGATTGTCTCAGATGCTTGTAAACAGCTTAAACCTTTCTTCCATGACATGGACACAAAATCTGACATGAGATGTCACTTCTGCAGATGCTGTCATGTGTCTCATGACTAGGCCTCACTGTGACAAGTCTAGGCAGTAACAGGAGGGTGACTGACAAGCTGGTGAGTCTGTGTACTTTAATAGAATGAGTCAAACTATTTGCACGCTTTTCATGAGTCTCAGGGAGTCCAGGGGACAGAGTGATGGCAAGAAAGCTTAATACTTATTTATGAGATCTGCCTTTAACCAGCTGACACTCAATACAAGGATAAAGATCATTCCCTTCTCTAAAGTGGAGAGCTACTGTCATAGGATTTTGATAAAATCCTTGGAAGCTTAGGACATTAAATCAGTGCTAGTGCCCCTGGCCCACTGCAGAGGTGAAGATTTAGCCTGAAGCTATGGTGTGGAAATGGGCATTGAGGAAGTCAGAAGGCAAACCAGTGCCATTCTTGAGGAAATGGTATTCTCACTGCAGAAAGCAACGTCCCAAGCAAGCAAACTTGTTCAGCTTTGGTCAGTGTAATAAGTTACTGGTGTCTGTGGTTCTTCAGCACTAGGAAATAGCAGTAATAAAAAACCTTCCCTAAACAAAGAAGACATACTGAGACAAGTTTTGGTGGGAGGGGTCTTGAAAAAAAGGTGAGAAAAGAGAATTGCGATAAATACAGTAACTAGAAGCTATAGCCAGGCATGCAAGTTGTGAGAAAGGAGGAGAGCAAGTTGCCAGGATTCATGCTAACACATACCTGACAACCTTATTACTTGGGGCAACTGTGCCCCCCGGGGGTCAGAGCAGTGTTGCCCTCTCTGATAGAAGCAGTCCTGCTGCATTACACATTTCCATGGCAAGTGAAGGTGTGGCTCACACGCAGAAGGAATTAAGGTGTGCTGGTCTCGCAATCCTGCAGGAGGATTACCTGGTTCCAGCTGCTATTTGATATGAGAGCCACTGCCTCTTCTGCAGGAGGAGTAAATGAGTGTGGGGAGCAGCTTTGTGCTTCTTTCCCAGCTGACCTCTTTCTTCAGCCTTGTGCAGACAAGGTCGGTCTTCTACCAGTTCTGATTCAGAGGGGAACAGATTAAGTCTGCTGTCACACTGAAATCCCATTTCACATATCTTCCTGCTATTCACACACACTGTGATCAGGGAACCCATATCAGGGCTTGTGACAGTCCCTGTTGCCCCTGTTAAATGGTGTTAAGGTGCTCATTACCAAAGGTTGCAGCCAGTTATTTGCAGGACATACACCGCACGTGTATGAGGTGAGCAAGCTCTCCTGCATGGCATTGCCAGCAGGGCTGTGTTGAGTGCAAGAGATCACCCTGCTGGACAGTTCAGTGCTTCCAGGGCTCTCTGTTGGGAATGACACCAGGGGTACCAGTTATACACACAACCACAATTCACATAGTTGAAACCTGGGAGACCGGTCATGACCAAAAAAATTAATGTCTTAAGTCCATCAAACAAAGAGCCATCTTTCAGTCACTCCAGCCTGGTCTGGGCATATAGCCAAGAGCTTCAGTGCTGAAAATCTCGATTTCTCTTACTAGATACCATCAACCTGTGTGATCCTGAACAAAAAAATAGGTCTCTGTGACTTACAAAGGACTCAGACAATGAAATGTGAAATACAGATAATGCTGGACTGATCTCAGGAGTGTTCCTGGAAGTTATGGTTTGAAAAAAGCAAGAGCAAGGTCATGCTGTAGCTCTCCCTCCTCAGCACAGCTCAGACAGAATTGCTTTCTAGCTTGTCAAAAGGCAATTCAAGCAAAGAACACCAAGTTTCAAGTTGAGATTCATATAAAAAGGCCTAGAGCAAGGATATCTGTGGGCTTGAGTGAGTGCAGAGAAGGTTAGTGCTGCTATAAGGAAAGCAATAGTACTCAGAATAATCAGAATTTAATAGTAACATACATTGTGGTATAAAGAGAAAACATAGAGAATGGATAGAAATAGATTTTTCATCCGCATAGTTTAAGTAATTCATAAAGATCACAGTTCGAAATCCACTCAGCACTAGGAAAAGTACAATGAATAAGTAAAAAAATTTTTAAAAAAACCACCCAAAACCAAAAACCCACACAGATAAAACAAAAATAAAGCAGGCCAAGTTCCTGAAGTCTCTTTCTCCATTCAGGAATTCTTCCTTCCCCCCTGTTTCTAAGCCTTGCTATAAAAAATACAGTTACATGGCACAGAGAATCCAGGGCAAAACAAGAAGAGTATGAAGACAGAAAGACCAAAGTACTATAGCTAGCAGGACTAGTTTTGGGGAAAAATAATTTAACTAGCACTGGATTTCTGCTGGAAGATTAGTTCCCCAGCATCTCTGAGCAAATTAAACAGGAATACTACTGAACCCACTGTATCACAGCCTGCAGAGCTGCTGAGAGGCAGCCCTGGCAGGGTGCTGGAGGTAATTAGCACTGACATACTTCTCTTTGCTCAGTTTTGCTGGCTGAGGACTCTGTCTCATTTGTTCTTCGTTTCTATGCAAATTGTTTAGAGGAGGGCTGTAAAAACAGCAGGTAGGTGTGACTGTAAAGTGTTCCCATACCGATTACACAGCTACAGTTACAAATTATGGTTTAATCATCACAGGTACCACCACATCTACAAGGCTTTTCTATGCTAGAATAACTGATACAGAATCACATAATGTGTTACTAGTACAAAGGCACGGCTAAGAGCCACAATGAATTATTATAGCCATAATACCAAGCTGAAGCAGCACGCGCTCGTGGCAGCGCATTTAACACGTTCACTGTGGTTTTACAGTGTTATAAATAGCAATCACTGTGAGCAGAAGTTGTAGCATCTCCTATCCTCTCCACCCCCACCACCAAACAAATCACTCGTGTTAACGTCAGCTTTTATTTGAACACAATGAGCTGTAATCACATGAGGTATTACTTTGATTTAATCCTTCTTGCTTCAGTTTGGTTTGTAAGGAGGGGCCAGTCATATGTGGTTGCATTGTATCCAGTAGTTTCATATTTCACACCAGCTTTCAAGGACTGACACCCCTCATCTTCTTTGGCCAGAAGAACAAACAGATGTGCTCATGCAAATAAGGAAAAGAAAGTCTGGCAGCCGGGATGGGTTTTTTCCTTCTTTTTTTTTGCCCCCCCTCCCAGTTGCTGGGCTGGCTGTGGCAGCTGACGGGGAGATTCTGGGT